TAGTTAGCATGGATAAACTGAACTATCCCACAGGTTAATCACTGTTGCCCTGGCCAGTGTGGCTCAGTTGGTTGGAACATCATCCCATACACCAAAAGATGTCAGGTTTAATCCCCAGTCAGTGAGCATGTGGGGGAGGCAACCAATCAATGTTTCTCTCTCTCCCCTTAAAAAAATAAAAAAATAAATAAATATTCTGTAAAAAAAAAATCATAATCATTGTTTGCCGTGGTAAAGATCTGGGGGTTAAATAATAAAAAGAAAATACTCAAGTTTAGTGGGCCAGAAATCCTATTTGACACCCCCGCATAAGTGTTCTATTTCAGTTAGTTCTATCCTAAGGAATTTACACCCTTGTTCAGTTAAATCACTGTGAAGTGGAATATTTCTTCAACACTGGTTACTTTCTCATTTGAGTTTCTGACATTTTTCAAATATCCTAATTAAAATAGCCAATTTAGACAGATTCTGACAAATGAAACTCAGGTAGAGTTTGAAGGTGAACATCAAGATTAACCACTACTTCTTTCACTCACTCCTAGCACAAATAATCACATCCACCTTCAGGAATGGCACTTATAAGTTAATAATGAATTCCAACTCATATTCACCCAAGAATCATTAATCATCACTTCATGCTTGCCCTGTGCCAAAAGCTATTTTAGCCTCCAACAGAAAAATTGATATAATCCTTTCCCTAAAGGAACACCAGTCTGGCAGTGGTGAGACAGTATTAGTAGGTACCAATAGAGAAGAGGGAGCAACCAGTAAACTGTTCAGGGAAGGAAGAAGTTAACTTTTGAGCTAAATTTTGTTGAAAAGATCAGTTTTGGTGGGGGCAGGTGATCATTGTGTAGGGGCCGGAATTCCAAGTAAAGGAATCAGCATGCATAAAAATAAATATAGGGGCAAAAGTTGGTTTACACTTGTTTGCATGTAAAATAATACAAGAATAAACTGTTTTGCATACTCACAACTGTAAACTTACTTTTGTTCCACCCTGTATTAAATATTCAATTTTATACTATCTACAGTCTTGCCCAGCTGGCGTGGCTCAGTGGTGGAGCATTGACCCACGAACCAAGAGGTGGCTGGTTTGATTCCTGGTCAGGGCACAGGCCCGGGTTTCGGCTCCATCTCCAGTGGGGGCTGTGTGGGAGGCGGCCGATCGACATTTCTCTCTCATATCGATGTTTGTCTCTCTTTCCCTTCCCCTCTCTCTAAAAAATCAATAAAAACATATATTTAAAAAAAAACACAGAACTCTCAGAACTGGAAGGGACTTTACAGATCATCTTGTCTAGTCTTTTCTTCATGCAGATAAAGAAACTATTACTGATAATTCAACAGTAAAAGTAACTTGGTAGAAAGTAAAAAATTCTGCGTGGTGGTTGTAATGAAGTATTTTTTTGTTATCCAGTTTCTCTCCCGTCAATGTTTCTATCTCTCTCTCTCTAAAAATCAATACACAAACAAACATATTTATACTATCCACAGTCTTTTTCTATACTCTAGAAACATTGTATATCAAATGTCATTATTTAATACTACTGTCCTAAAGGGTAGGGCACAAATCTACAACGTAAGTGGATGTTGAGGACTTAAAACATACTTAACACTGATCAATAAATTTTCAGAAATTATCAAACATTTAAATAGTGCTATTTATTTCCCCCAGAGAAATTCAAATACTTTCAGTCTTACAAATTACAAAGATGATTAATTCCATAATGGAAATATCAGTCTACATAATCAACTGCAAAGAAATCTTTCACTTTTACTTGTAAAATGAAAGTGAAAAAATATTCTAAAACAAACCAGAAAGAGCTTTCTCAAAATAGGCTCATTTTACTTTTTTTTTTTTAATCCTCACCTGAGGATATTTTTCCATTGATTTTCAGATAGGGGGAGAGGGAGAGAGAAGAAAGGGGAGGAGAGAGAGAGACAGCAATGTGAGAGAGACACATTAATTAGTTGCCTCCAGCAGAACCCTGACCAGGGCCAGAGATGGAACCGAAACCAAGGTACATGCCTTAACTGGAATGGAACCCACAATTCTTTGGTCCCTTGGTGGATGCTCTAACCACTTAGCAAACTGGCCAGGCTCATTTGACTCTTAATATTCTTTAACTGCTCCTAAGTTGTGAGCTCTTACTCTTGGATTTGTACAAAGGAATATAGCAGTCAAAAATCATTTCCAGCTTAAGTAGTAATAAATAAAAACAGTTGAGCCTTGACCAGTTTGGCTCAGCTGGTTGGAGCATCATCCCATACAAGGAAAGGTTTCGAGTTCAGTTCCTGGCTAGGGCAACAGTTCAAGCTCCATTCAGAGTGCATATGGGAGGCAACCAATTGATGTGGTTGTTTTTTTGTTGTTGTTCTCTCTCCCTCACCCTCTCTCTACAATCAATAAAAACATATCCTCAAGTGAGGATTAATAAAATAAAAATAGTTGAATGTGAAGAAATAAGGATATTATCAACAGGAGACTTCCTTGACTCCAAATTACTATTTAGAAAACTGATACTTCTTGTACGTATTGTGGAGGATGACCTTACCTTCTAGACTACTTAAGAGCCAATACCACAGCAGAGATCTACCCAATTTTTGGAATAGTTTAGTGCATGATGGGATATGTAGTTCTTAGGGAAGCATATACAATTTAAAGTAGAAAAGAACACCTTCAATGGGGAAAAAAAATCTGCTTTAGTCCTTGACGGTGTGACTCAGTTGGTTGAGCATGGTCCTGTGCATCAACAGGTCACCAGTGTAACTCCTGGTGAGGGCACATGTTCAGGTTGTGGGTTCAGTAGCCCTCCCGGCACCTGATCATTGTTTCTCTCTCACATCAATGTTTCTCTCTCCTTCCATCCTCTCTCTAAAATCAATGAAAACATTAAAAGCTACGTTAAACTGTCTAACTGCCCACAATTTCCCAGCAATTCACTTCAAGTTGATTACTGTAGCCAGTGAAGCACCAACCAGTTTTGAAACAACTCCATACAATCATTTTAATTACAGTGACACCCCTTTGAAGTTGACATGGTTATATGATTGCGAAGTGTTGTTTCTAAGAGAGAATGAGTCTAAAGATGTATAAAGACCACCTATGATATGTAATCAGTACTGCCAGTTAGCCACAGGAATGCCTTAGACACAAAATCTGTCACAAGCTAAAATCAAAATTCATTGCCTCTAGCACATCCTTCTGTTTCAGGTGATTTTCACTACAGGACTTCTAGGGTAACCCTCAACAAGTCAGTTGAGCACCTGCAGTGAAGACCAGAGTTAGAAGAAAGTGAAAGTTTTACACTTTGTTTTACTAATACTTTTGAATACAGATAGTTTTTAATTAAGGGTAATTGTGGCAGAGGTGGAAAAATTAGGAACTGTTAATTATCATAGATATAGTGAGCTATCTTATGTTGTTAAGATAATCTTTGTTTGCTGTTTGCTGTACTAAAGACTTGGGGGTTAAATTGAAAAATAAACCTCAGATTTATTACTGGGCCAGAAACCCTATTTGCTCCCCACCCCCACTCCCAGCTTTTTATTTCTAGTTAGTTCTATCCTATGCAATTTACAGCCTTGTTTAGTTAAATCACCCTGAAGTGGAGTATTTCTCCAATACTGGCTACTTTCTCTGTGGAGTTTCTGGCATTGTTCAAAAATCCTAATTAAAACGGACAATTTAGGGAGATTCTGACGAAATTACTCTTGCTCACCTACTTTCCTTTTGACAGGATTCAGCCGGTGCTGGAAAGTAAGCGATCAACTTAATGGAGAAAGGGTGCACCATGCGATGAACAAAATAATTGCTCGCCCCAAGAAAGCACTTATGACCATTCTGCAGCCACTGAGTGTGACCTTGGCTAGAAACCAATGGCTGCGGGGCCTGGGGCAAGACGACAGGAAGTACCCTGGGAGCCCAGGACCTCTGCAATTGGTGAAACGTTTGCTTCTAATATAAGGCCTTGAAATGCCTTATATTAGAATGAAGAACATTAACACCGACTCACCCAGAAACTGTCAAGATGCCCATCGAAGTGGGGTAGAGGGGTGGTTAAACCCTTTGCAAATAGTAAGTGCCGCAAGAGCACCGAGGTAAGGATGTGGCCCTACGAGAGGGGCCTTCTTTGGGTTTTCCTTCCCGGGCCTCGCCCCGCGGCGATCAGCACCCACTTCTCCGCTCTCGATGAGATATCTCGGCTCCCCCGGGCTGGGAAATTTACTGGCTGCAGCCGGGCTCTCAGGAATGGTGGAGGGCCCCGCGCTGCGCAGGCCCAACCGTCCAAGCCTTCGCCCCCGGCCCGGCCCGGCCCGGCCCAGCCCGGCCCGGCCTTCCCTCCCCCTCCCGGCTCAGTGGCCTCACCAGGGGGCGAAGAACTCGACCAGCATGAGGCCCGCTGAGCCCGTGTCGGAGATGCGACTCTCGAAGTTGTCGTCCGTGAGTTCCAGCACGTCGGAGGCACCAGCTAGGCGGGCCGCGGTGAGCAGCAGCGCCACGCCCGGAAACAGTGCTAGGCGGCGGAGGCGCATGGCGGCGAGGTGAGGTGGGGACGGCCGAGGAGGGTCGGGACTCGGTGGGGACTGCGGAAGCCAGGCCAGCGACCACGCACCCTCTGCCTGTGCTCACGCGTCTTAGCCCGGGCGGACCTGCTGCCGAAGGTCCCAACCCCCCAGCCCCGCTCGGGCCGCAGTGTGGCAGCCGCCGATTGGCTGCGCGGCGCTTGCGTCGAGCGGGCGGGACCTGCTGGTAACTGCCGAGTGGCCCGGGCGTGGGGAGGGGCCGGGGCCGGGGCGGTGAGCACTTGGGCGAGCTGGGCTGGGAGGTGGCCGGCGCTGGGGACTGGGGCTGGACTCGGGGCGAGCCGGAATCCGGGATGAGCCGGAACGTGGGGTGCGGGGCGAGGCAGAGCTGGAAATGGGTGCAGTGAAGCGGGGAGGCGACCCTGAACGCATCCAGTGTGGGGAGAGCCGAGCTCAGGGGGTGCCAGAGCCGGAGGCGGAGGAGTGAAGTCTGGGTTGAGTGGGCGGAAGACAGCCTGGGCTGAGGTGAGGCCCACAGGGGGGAGTTGAGAGGAGCTGCCACTCCAGGGAGTGTTTGGCCCTGGACACATTTTCAAAATGTCAGGCTGTTGCATTTTGTCCACTTCCTCCTAATTTGGTTTTTCTTTCTGGGGCAGCCCCAAGCCCTCCCACTGCTCCACCTCATTGCATTGCCTGGTTCTCTCTCATCCAGGTGGTGCCCGAATTCCTCTTTGTCCAACCCCGGAACTTCTGCCCTTGTGGCTGCTGCGTTTAATTAGAAATGCCGTCCCACAAATGAAGGTGCCAGGTCACTTAGTCAACTAACTGCACAATATTCTCTTAGGATCCCTGTTGCCTTTTGTTTTATAAAACCTAGAGTCTTGATACAATGTGTTTTTGTATAATTAAGGGCAAAGGGAGTGGGAGAAGAGAAGAAAACCCTGATGTTTGGTGCAATTCCAAGAATGAAGTGATACTTGATTCTAACATTTTCTTAACAGACATGGCCACTTACCACCCAGCAGGAGACATGCAACTGCCCAGAGCTGATGCCATTCGTTCTCGTCTCATTGACACTTTCTCTCTCATCGAGCATCTGCAAGGCTTGAGCCACGCTGTGCCGTGTCATACTATCCGAGAGATACTTGGTCAGCAGCCTATTTCTTCATAAACAGAAACTTGACTACCATCCACACCCTCCAAAATATAGGTAGCAGACATACAGTTTTTAAAAATGTTTTTATTGATTTTTTTAGAGAGAGAGAAACATCAATGTGAGAGAGAAATATGGATTGGCTGCCTCCTGCACGCCCCCTATTGGGGATGGCGCCCACAATTCAGGCACTGCCCTGACTGGGAATGGAACGCAGGGCGGGAGGGCGCGGGACAGCACAGACAATTTTTTTAAAAAAATCCTCACCTGAGGATATTTTTCTATTTATCTTCAGATAGAGTGGAAGGGAGAGAGAGGGAGAGAAAGGGAGAGAGAAAAAGAAACATCCACTGTTTGCTTCCCCATGACCCTGACTAGGGTTGAGGACAATCACAACTGAAGAACATGCTCTTGGCCAGAATCGAACCTGAGACTCATTGGTCCAAGGGCAGATGCTCTACCCCGGAGTCAAACTGGCCAGGGTGACAGACAATTTTAAGGGTAGAAAATTCAGGGAAGACTGATATGGTTGCTACTTTGGAGGTTACATCAAACTTGAGAAATCAGAGGCTTTAGAAAAAATTATTTGAATCCAGGTGATAGAACTCATGCCACTTACTTTTAGGCCTAGGATACCTACTAGCTCTGGGTGATGTGGAAGTTTTTACCAAAGACACGTAAAACTCAGAGGGTTGAGCCCAGCAGTGTAGTTCAGTGGATTGAGCATTGTCCCATGGACTGAGAGGTCCTGGTTCAATTCTCCATCAGGGCACCTGAGTTTCAGCTTCCATTTCCAGTAGAGGATGGTAGGAGGCAGCTGATCAATGTTTCTATCTCTCCCTTCCTCTCTCTCTAAAAAATCAACAGAAACATTAAAAAAAAAAACTTAGAGGGTTGAACCTGCTGCCTTTATTCTTTGATCATAAGCAATACTTTAGCTCTTCAAACTATTAGTTGCTGTGAGAAGGAGCAGCAAGGCAAGCCTCAACAGTAGGGGGCCCCTTATATAACCAGTATCCTTGCCCCCAATCCTACCTTTCTTCATATCCTGCCCCAAATTTCTCTCTTTTTTTTCTTTGTTAATCCTTACCCAAGGATATTTTTCTATTGATTTTTTTAAAGATAGAGTGGGAGGGAAGGGGAGAGAGAAAGAGAGACATGGATGTGAGAGAGAGACATCAATTGGCTGCCTCCCACATGACCCCAACTGGGGCCAGAAATCAAACCTGCAACCCAAGTATGTACCCTTGACTGGGAATCCAACCTGTACCCCTTTGGTCTGAAGGCCGATGCTCTAACCACTGAGCAAAAACCAGCCAGGGCCCAAACTTCTCTTTATATTTATCTACTGTCCCTTTTTTATTTTTGGTGTAGATCCTTCCCATCAGAAGAAACTTATGTTGGGAGATCAACATCAACTTGTGCGCTTCTCCATAAGGCCTCGTCATGTAGGACAGATTACACATGGCCAGAGACTGATGAGCAAGCTTCAAGTTCGCTGTAGTGAGAGGCCACCTCTTGCTTTGTGGGCTGGTTGGGTCCTTGAGTGTATCCTTTCATGGCACTTATTTTATCCCATGGCTTTACTGTTTCTCTTGCCTCATCATCTGCCTTATGATTTTGTTTTTCTCTTTCCAAGCTTCATTTTCTTCTCATTCTCACTGGTTCTGCTCTTGCTCCTGTTATTTCACCTGCATGAATCAGAAAGAACTCTACTATGTATGTTTCCTTAAGAGAAAACAGGTTCTTCCTTCAAAAACTTCATCATATTCCTCATATTTTTGAATACAATTGCGGTGATGGTTGAAATAGGTAAGAACTGAGACTGAATGAAAGAGTAGGTGGGTGGGAGTAATTTTTTCTTTAAATTGATTATTTTACATTTTTGAATGTTATTTGAATTGTGATAGGTATAATTATATTAAATCTCTTGGAGTAGTATTTATGTAACTGCTAAGATCTAGAAACATTTGGAGGGCTCTCAAGGGTATAGTAGATATAAGGTAGTCTTGATAAGGTAGGGTGTAATAGACTCAACAAGGTATTGGAGGTGGGAAGACCAGTTATATTTCTTGTGTCAGTTTAGTCTAAATTTGTTTGAATTAGCCTTTTCTATTAGAGATATTGGTGCCTATCAGTGAGTTATCCAATATTTACATTTTATAAGTATGTTTAGAAAGATTAAGTACGAATAAGAAAGCTCACAAAATATGTAAAGTTAGGTATAAGTAAGATATTAGATGACAAAAAATTGACATAAAGAGTAAATAACCCGAGCCCTGGCCAGTATGGCTCAGTGTTTAGAGCATTGGCTCTTGCACTGAAGGGTCTCAGGTTCTATCCCCGGTTAAGGGCATATACCTGAGTTGTGGAATCGATCCCTGGCCCCTGGTAGGGCGCATGCAGGAGGCAACCGATTTATGTGTCTCTCTCACATCGATGTTTCTCTCTCTCTCCCCCTCCATCCCTCCCTTCTACTCTCTCTAAGAAAAATCAGTGGAAAAAAGATCCTTGGGTGAAGTTTAACAACAACATCAAAAAGAATAAATAACCCGCCCTGGCCGGTTTGGCTCAGTGGTTGGAGCATCGACCTGCGGTACAGAGAGACCCGCGTTCGGTTCCCACTGAGGGCGCGTGCCTCGGTTTCAGTTTGTCCCCGGCCCTGGTTGGTCGTGCGGGTGGCAGCCACTTGATGTGTCCCTTCACATTGATGTTTCTCTCTTTCTTCCTCTCTCTCCCTCCCGCTCTATCTGAACAAGGAATGGAAAAATGTCCTCGGGTGAGGATAAAAAAAAAAGAGTAGCCCTGGCCGGTTTGGCTCAGCGGCTGGAGCGTCGGCCTGTGGTACAGAAAGACCCGGGTTCGGTTCCCGCTAAGGGCGCGTGCCTCGGTTTCAGTTTGTCCCCGGCCCTGGTTGGTCGTGCGGGTGGCAGCCACTTGATGTGTCCCTTCACATTGATGTTTCTCTCTTTCTTCCTCTCTCTCCCTCCCGCTCTATCTGAACAAGGAATGGAAAAATGTCCTCGGGTGAGGATAAAAAAAAAAGAGTAGCCCTGGCCGGTTTGGCTCAGCGGCTGGAGCGTCGGCCTGTGGTACAGAAAGACCCGGGTTCGGTTCCCGCTAAGGGCGCGTACCTCGGTTGCAGTTTGTCCCCGGTCCTGGTTGGTCGTGAGGGCGGCAGCCACTCGATGTGTCCCTTCACGTCGATGTTTCTCTCTCTCTCTCTTCCTCTCTCTCCCTCCCGCTCTATCTGAACAAAAAATGGAAAAATGTCCTCGGGTGAGGATAAAAAAAAAAAGGATAAATAACCCTAAAACCAATTATAAATTATATGAAATGTATTAACAATAAAAGAAGTGTGGAGAATCATTGAGCTCCTTTGATTATCATTTCAAACAAACTGCTGAGAAAGGATAAAGGACAATAAAAGTATGCACATCCTTGTTTCATTCTCACTTGTTTTGGGGAAGTGTCCTACTTTAAATCTTTTTTTGTGCGTGTGGTACGTGCCCCTAGCAGGAACCGAACCCAGGACTCTCTGGTCCACAGGCCAACGCTCAACCGCTGAGCCAAACTGGCCAGGGCAAGTGTCCCACTTTAAAACTGTCTTTTAATGCAATTAAGTCAAAGATATTTAAATACATCACAATAATTGATGTCGTTGACCACTACAGTATACCATATATACTTTGAAATGTTTCATTTCCTCTGCACATGGAGATTTTGAACCATATGACCCACATTTCCTTTTTCTTGTATAACTGGTATGTATTTGTCTTGTGAGGTTGGGATATAGTCTTAAGCATTGGGATAAAGTAAATAGCAGTAAATGTACAGGATTCCCTGCATCTAATGGACAAATCGGAAAAGAATAGCACTAACCATTCTACTATTTGGTAAAATGGCTGAATATGAAACATGATCCCTGTGCTAAAGGATAAGTGGAATGCTGGAGTGGGACAAACTCATGTAAATTGTATTTTTTTTCAAAAGAAATTTTTAATTGATTTTAGAGAGAGAGAGAGACAGAGATAGAAACATCAATTACAGAGAACATCAATTGGCTTCCTCCTGCACGGCCCCCATTGGGTATCGGGTGCACAACCTGGGCATGTGCCCTGACCAGTAATCGAACCGGCGACCTCTTGGTGCATGAGTCTGTGTTCAACCAGTGAGCCACACCAGCCGAGCATAAATTGTATTCTATTAAGTACATTCTCATGGTAAAAAGGCAGGTGGATTAATACTTTGTGATTAACATATCTTTGAACAGGCTGATTCATGTGATAAACATTAAGACCTTGTTTAGGCTTTTAAAAAACAATTTTCCAGATCACAAGAATGTTGTTATAAATGGGGAAAAAAATGGTTATTAACGAAGTTTTCTAGCTCAAAGCTCCCTAATCTTTTTGTGTCATGAGATTTTGTTTCCCAGTAATACATATATAATCTCACTTATTTATTTTTTTGTTAATCCTCACCCAAGGATATTTTTTCCTTTCTTTTTTTTAGAGAGAGTGGGAGGAAGAGATGGAACGGGGGAGAGAGAGACACACATCGACCAGTTGCCTCCTGCATGTGCCCCAACCAGGGCTGGCAATTGAACCCACAACCCTTCAGCATGTGGGCCCACACTAACCACTGAGCAATACCCACCAGGGCTACATATATAATCTTGAAAACCTCCTTTGGCATTTTAATCATTTAATTATTTTTATGTAGTATAAATAAGAAGCAAGTTGAAGTAAGAATAATATTTTAGACTAGCATATTAAATATTTTAACATTTTTTTAACATCTTTATTGTTGAATGTATTACAGATATTCCTCATTTTTCCCCTATTGACCCCCCTCCTCCGCACTCCTGCCCCCCTCCTGCCTTTCCCCACACTGTTGTCTGTCCATTGGTTATGCATATATGCATATAAGTTCTTTGGTTTATTTCTTCCCACCCCCCAATCCCTTCCCTTTGAGGTTTGTCAGTCTAACAACCAATTTGTACTTCTTTTTAAAAAAAATTTATTTATTTTTGTTACAGATGTTTCTCTTTTTTCACCCACTGATACCCCCCCTTCCCTTCCCTCCCTGCCCTGTCCCCAGCTTTGTTGTCCATGTCCATTGTTCATGCATACATGCATATAAGTTCTATGGTTTATCTCCCCCCCACCCTCACTTCTGGGGATTGTCAGTTTGTACCCCACTTCTACATCTCTGTGACTACCCTGTTCCTCAGACTGTTACGTTCATTATATTCCACAAATAAGTGAGATCATGTGATATTTGTCTTTCTCTGCTTGGGTTGTTTCGCTTAGCATAAAACTATCCAGGTCCCTCCACGTTGTCTCAAAGGTTAAGAGATCTTTCTTTCTTACAGCTGCGTAGTACTCCATTGTGTATATGTACCACAGCTTTTTTATCCATTCATCTACTGATGGACACTTGGGCTGTCTCCAGATCTTAGCTATTGTAAATAGTGCTGCTATGAACATAGGGGTACATACATTCTTTCTGATTGGTGTTTCAGGCTTTTTAGGGTATATTCCTAGAAGCGGGATCACTGGGTCAAATGGAAGTTCAATTTTTAACTTTATGAGGTAACACCATATTGTTTTCCATAGTGGCTGCACCAGTCTGCATTGCCACCAGCAGTGTGCTAGAGTCCCCTTTTCTCTACACCCTCGCCAACACTTGTTGTTAGATGATTTTTTGATGGCGGCCTTTCTGAAATGTGTGAGGTGATACCTCATTGTTGTTTTAATTTGCATCTCTCTGATAATTAGTGATGTTGAACATTTCTTCATACCAATTTGTACTTCTTAATCCCTTCACCTTTTTCATCCATTCCCCCAACCACCCTCCCATCTGGCAACCAACAAAATGTTCTCTGTATCTATGAGAATGTTTCTATTCTGCTTGTTCATTTTGTTGGTAGATTCAATTGTCAATAGATATGTATTCATTGCCATTTTGTTTGTTCATATGTTTTATCTTTTTCTTCAAGAAGACCCTTTAACATTTCATATAATAATGGTTTGGTGGTGATGAACTGCTTTAGCTTTTGCTTGTCTGGGAAACTATTTGTCCACTGATTCTAAAATACAGCTTTGCAGGATAAAGTGATCTTGATTGTAGGTTCTTGCTTTTCATCACTCTGAATATTTCTTGCCACTCCCTTCTGGCCTACAAAGTTTCTCTTGAGAAATCAGCTGACAGTCTTATGGGAACTCCCTTGTAGGTATCTAACTGCTTTTCTCTTGTTGCTTTTAAGATTCTCTCTTTGTCTTGAATCTTTTGCATTTTGATGATGATGTGTCTTGGTGTGGGCCTCTTGGGGTTCATCTTGTTTGGGACTCTGTGCTTCCTGGCTTGTATGTCTGTTTCCTTCACCAAGTTAGGGAAGTTTTCTTCCATTATTGTTTCAAATAGGTTTTCGATTTCTTGTTCTCTCTGTTCTCCTTCTGACACCCCCAAGATGCAAATGTTGGCACACTTGAAGTTGTCCCAGAGGTTCCTTACACTATCCTCATTTTTTTAATTCTTTTTTCTTTTTGCTGTTCTGATTGGGTGATTTTTGCTTCCTTATATTCCAAATCGATGGTTTGCTTCTTGGCTTTACATACTCTACTATTGAATCTGTGTAAATTATTCTTTATTTCAGTTAGTGCCTCCTTCATTTCTGACTGTACATCCTTCATTTCTGACTGGTCCTTTTTTATGCTCTTGAGGCCCTCAGTAAGTTCATTGAGCATCCTTATAAGCAGTGTTTTGAACTCTGCATCTGTTAGGTTGCTTATCTCCATTTCACTTAGTTCTTTTCCTGGAGTTTTGCTTTCTTTTGGGACCTGTTTCTTTGTTTCCTCATTCTGGCTGCCTCCTTGTGTTTGTTTCTATGTATTACCTAATGAGAGATATGGGGCTAGCCAAGACCAGATGCTGCTTGTTTGAAAGAATTTAAGAAAACCTCAAGCAGGATCCAAGACAGGCCAATCCTATGGTAAAACAACTGGCAACAGCTTGGGTGGGCCAGAAAGTTGAGTGGGGCAGGGCCTCAGGGAATCACCAGGGCGGGGCAAACAGTATGAGCCAAGTTGCTGGAGTCCCAGATATGGTGGCTGTCTGCCACCCCAGGGAAGGGCTCACCAAAGGAACAAAGGCCTCTGACAGCACCTCTCTCCAGGAGAAAGCTGCCTCTCCAGCCCTCGCTCCAATGCCAAACAACTCAGTTCTTCTCCTGTATGTCTGTGGTGCCTTTTGCACTGCCTCCCCCACGCTGGAGCCTGGAGCTTTCGAGTCCGAGTAAGTCTGTGCGCGGGCCCTTTAAGAGGAGCTGCCTGGGGCTGCAGCTGTCTCAGCCTCCCTCAATCTCAGTTCCTGCTGGTTTTTCCAGCCTGAAGTTATGGGGACTTCTCTTCCTGGCACTGGAACCCTGAGCAGCTCGCCTGGTGTGGGACGGGGACCCCTCACTCCTCAGGGAGGACCTTCCCAGCCAAGGTGTCCCTCCTGATTTTCATCCACCACATGGGGTGTGGGACCAGCCCATCCACCTCTGCCCCTTCTACCAGTCTCGATGTGGCTGCTTCTTTAATTTCATAGTTATAGGAGTTCCGTTCAGCTTGATTTCAGGCCGTTTTGAATGATAGTTGTTCTGTAGTTTAGTTGTAACTTTGATGTAGTTATGGAAGGACCCGATACCACATTTACCCATGCCGCCATCTTGACCGAAAGTCTCTTAACATTTATTATATAATCCTTCTAGTCTGCTCATTTCTTCCTGGAGGGAATTTGCTTCCTGGTGCCTCCCTGCCACTTGTTTCCTACATGATTAGGCTTTATCAATATCTGTTGAGATGAATCTGTGTGACCCCAGAGCAGGAAGGCAGTGACTTGCAGCTGTTAGGCATATCAATACTAGCAGGAGAGATGAGTCATAGCTATTTCTCATGTTCGATTCTGCCCTCCCCTATATTCCACAGGTGGAAGCAACAACAGTGTTTAGAGAAACTCAAAGCAAAATGTATAGCAATGGGCACAACTGTGGTTTATAACTTCTTGTGATCATTTTCCATCATTCATCTTCCCACTTCCTTAACCTTTATTCATCCTTTGCTCTCTACTCACAGAATTGCTCGAATCCTCAAATACCAAACTGTCGCCACTGAAGCTGACTCTGGAGGTAGCAGCTTGGTTCATCTTATTTATTTTCATCTTGGAGATCCTTCTCATGTGGCTATCCAGCTTTTCCCTCTTCTGGAAAAATACCTGGAATGTCTTTGATTTTGTTGTTACCATATTGGTAAGGATCGATATCCTGAAGATTAGTTTAGTGGGCTGAGGAATCAAAATGACAAGAAAAGTTAAGATGATTAGATCATGGGAAGAAACAAATAGAAGTGTACCTAACTTCCTTTTTTTCCTTCTAAAACTAAAAGTTAATCATTGCAGGAGTTATTGGTATTAGGAGCAAGGCAGAATCTAACCACAACATTAACCTCAACAATAATGTCTATCAGTTATTAAGCACTTACTAAGTGCCAGGTACTGTTCACATGTATTTTCTTATTTGAACTCCACAACAAGCAAATGAGATAAGCACTGTTTTTTTGTTTGTTTTAAAAATATATATTTTCCCATTTATCTTCAGATAGAGTGGGAGGGAGAGAGAGAAAGAGAGAAACATCGATGTGAGAGAGACACATCGATTGGTTGCCTCCTACAGAACCCTGACCAGAGCTGGAGACCAAACTACAACTGAAGTACGTGCCCTTGACTGGAATCGACCTCAAGACACTTCGGTCCAAGGACTGATGCTCTAAACCACTGAACCAAACTGGCCAGGGCAATAAGCACTGTTCTAATAAATATGTTTTTATTGATTTTTTAGAGAGTGAGGGAGAGAGAGATAGCAACACTGATGAGAGAGAAACATGGATTTACTTCCTCCAGCTCCCCCTCACCCCTGACTGGGGATTGAGCCCACAACCTAGGCATGTGCCCTGACTGGGAATAGAACCATTGACCTCTTGGTGCATGGGACGACACTCAACTAACTGATCCATACCGGCCAGGTGATAAACACTATTTTATCCCCTTTTTATGTCTGAGCAAATTGAAGTACAGAGTTTAAGTAATTTAGTACAGAAAGGCTGAATAGGCAATAATCACCAGAGAATGTTATTCAAGGGATAATGCCCAAAGAATTATGAAGAAGATCAAATATCGAAAGGGCAACTGCGTGGGTGCTTTTAGGTATATTTTATTTATAATTTGTGTTTTTCCCACAGTCCCTGCTTCCTGAGGTTGTGGTGCTGGTAGGGGTAACAGGCCAGTCTGTATGGCTCCAGTTGCTGAGGATTTGCCGGGTGCTAAGGTCTCTCAAACTCTTAACACGATTCTGTCGAGTTCGAGTCATTATTTTGGCCCTAGTCAGGGCCCTTAAGGTGATTTGACTATAGCAGCAAAACCAGGTGGGCAAGGTGGATAAACATGGAGTTACATGAGACAAGTCTGGGTGGAAGGCAATGAAAGACCCTGTGATATGTTATTGGATGAGAAGGGCTTGGGTGAGGCTGCTATGGACGAAGATGACTGGGCTCAGGCCTGGAACGAGGGTTTTGTGGGGGATTGCCAGAGTGGGCTTGACTGGGCTATAGGTAGAAATCAGCCTAGTCTGGCCCAGCTCTGACTTGAAATCATTGCTTCTAGAGCATGACCTTCCTCTTGCTGTTGCTGATCATCTTCTTCTACATTTTTGCTGTGAGCGGTGTCTACTTTTTTGAGGATTATACCTATTCAGCTCGCCAGGACCTGCAGTACCAAGTGTTCTTCTCGTAGGCAGGACTGGAAATGCCTGGGTGGCGTGGAGAGGATTTGGGCAAGAGACTGGGAAGCTAAAGTCTAGTAATACAAAAAGTATAGTCCACTGTAAAAAATTGGAATAAAACACAGTAAAGAGAGGCAAAGAGAAAGCAAAATAATAGTTAATGGTGTTCATTCTGAGTTTGAGGATTGGCAGCTACCAGATTTGCCCTGAATATGCATTTTGCAAATTCATACGTACTCTCACAATCATCTTTAAATAGCAGTATACTCTAGAGGGTAAGCCCTGTTTTCTATGCCTCAGTTACCTCTTTTGAAAAATGAGAATAGGAATGTAGGGGTAAATGAGGTAATGCATTTAAGTACTTAGCAGAGTCATAAGTGATAGCAAATGTTACCCTCAAATATGCTCACTGGTTTTACCCCAATCTCTAGATGTGGGGATTACACATGCATACACCTATACTCATTCAAAAGTAAAATCCTGATAAGATCTTTGTCTAGAGAACACTGATGACTAGTAGGAAATCAATTTGGATTTAGAGGTGATAATGTTATTTATGAATTGGAATCCAATCTTGTCAATACCTCCCAGATCTCTCTTAGACAGTAATTTTGCAAGAGTACAAGTTAGGAAAGTCCTAGAATTTATCCTATTCAGGCCTTGATGTTTTCAACAAATTGTATATGGAGGACTAAGAAGGAAAGAAGGAAAATTTTAAATACCTTCCTGAGAGCTTTTGTGATATATGCATTGTCATTTATTATTTGGGAATACATATTTATGTCACAAATCCATTCATTTACTTGCTTATCAGTTCATACCAACAAACTAAATAGGAATAATGTTTGCTAAATTTGTAAGTGATCTTCTGCTAGGTGAAGTCTATAGGACAGTGGAGAGTGAACTTACCAAAAAATGGTATATAGTTGTTTATTCATTCAATTTTTCATTATTATTTTTTATTTTTTAGAGAGAGGGGAAGGGAGAGAGCAATAGAAACATTGATATGAGAGAGAAACATGATTGGCTGCCTCCTGCATGGGCCCCACTGGGGATCGAGTCCACAACCCAGGCATGTGCCCTGACTGGGAAATCAAACCAGGACCTCTCAGTCCATGGGATGACACTCAAACCACTGAGCCACACTGGCCAGATGAGTCATTCAATTTTTTAAAATTCAGTCAGTAACTATTTATTGAGTACCTATTATGTCCCAAGTACTAATGGAATAATAAGTGAAATTCACAGATTATTTATGATAAAGGAAAACCTAATAAAACAACCTCAAACTAAAGAATGATTAGCTAAAAAAAAAATTGAGTATGGTAGAAAATAAGCCAGAGTCAGAAAATACTATAAAGAAACGCTCTTATGTTGCTTTAAGAGCGAGAATGGAAAAAAAGTAAGAATGAAACTGTGTCTGAGAGGTTTAGATTGCTGTTTTATCTATACACACACCTTTTTCTTTAGGGACTTGCCGAATTCCCTAGTGTCAGTGTTCATTCTCTTCACCACGGATCATTGGTATGCACTGCTTCAGGACACCTGGAAGGTGCCTGAAGTCAGCCGCACCTTCAGCAGCATCTATGTCATCCTTTTGTTGTTACTTGGTTCCATTATCTTTCGAAATATCATAGTAGCCATGATGGGTAAGCATGGAAGAGGTGAAACTTGGTGGGAGGATTGGTTGGGAAGAAATTAGAGTGAAAGCTAGGATTGGTGGATTATGGAGCGAGAGAACCTGACGTAGTAGAAAGGCTTGGGGCCAATAATGGATGTTTCAGTTGGTTTCTCCCCACCTAAGCCCTCTCCCCAGGTCTAGTCACCACCATTCCCAACTCCTAACGGCCCTTTGGGGCAGTTGCTAACTTTCAGGCTATCAGAAATGAGCTGAATGAAGAGGTGACACAACTGGAGGTTCAGCACAAAGCTGACATATTCAAGCGGCAAATTATCCAAAGGTCTGCTTCTCCATTTTCAAACCCAACTTTAGTTCTCAAAAGTTTCCTGATCTCATTCTCTGTTTCTACTCGTTGGCCTTGACCTCATTTTTCCCTTTGTGACAAGATTTGCCAGAGGGCTAGCTAGAATGTCCCAGCTCTAGAATATTGCCTGATTATCTACTGTTTTTTCACCCCTTTACTACAATTTGTTCTCCTCAATTAATATTCTTCACTTTATTATATGAATTATTATTTTTTGTTGTTGTTAATCCTCACCTGAGGATATTTTTCCATTAATTTTTAGATAAAGTGGAAGGGAGGGAGAGGGAAAGAGAGAGAGAAACATTGATGTGAGAGAGACACAGCAATTGGTTGCCTCCCACGCAACCCCCACCAGGGCCCAGGATTGATCCTGCAACCCAGGTACATGCCCTTGACCAGGAATAGAACCCGTGACCCGTTGGTCCATGGGCCAATGCTCTAACTGCTGAACCAAACCAGCCAGGGCTATTTTATTTTTTCCTTACTAAACTCCTACTTCAGTATAACTCTCTTCACTCTTTTGTGTTTTTGCTTTGCAGGAGACAAAACCTCTCCCCTGAGGCATTGAGGTCAAGCCATAGCAAAATGGATACCAGGTTAGGAGCGTGTATGTGAACTGGGAGGGACACACATGAAGGAGGAGAGGGTAGAATACCAGAGATGAATATTGGCTTTGAGAGAGAATTCATTCATTCAGTAACTACTGATGGTAGTGGGTTGAATAGTAGCCCCCCAAAAGATATGCCCATGTCCTAACCCCCAGAACCTGTGAACATGACCTTATTAGGAAAAAGGGTCTTTGCAGATGCAATTAAGTTAAGGACCTTGAGCTATGATTATCCTGGATTATCCATTGACAAGGGTTCTTATCAGAGACAGAAGAGGAGAAGACATGGATATAGAGAATAGGAGAAGGAGATGTGAAGGTAGAGATTGGAGTGATGCAACCACAAGCCGATAGAAGCCAGTGAATACCAGGCAACTAACTGCCAGAGCTAGAAGAAGCTCCCTTAGAACTTCCAGAGGGAGGGTGGCTCTGCCAACATCTTGATTTCAGACTCTGGATTCCAGAATTGTGAAAGAATAAATTTCTGTCATTTCAAGTACCAAGTTTGTGGTAATTTGTTACAGCAGCCCCAGGAAACTAACATAAGTACCTTCTGTGAAACAGATGCAGTTCTAGATCCTGAGTATTCAGCAGTGGACAAGATAGCAGAAGGAAAAATAAACTCATTCATCCATTCAACAAAAAATTATTGAATACTTATTAGATGCTTGGGATATATCAGTGAACAAAACACAATAATGCCTGCTTTCATGTAGCTTATAATACTAGGTAAGGGAAAGAGACAATGAGTATATTGCCCTGGGCGATTTGGCTCAGCGGTTAGAGCATCGGCCTGCGGACCAGAGAGTCCCGGGTTCGGTTCCTGCTAAGGCCATGTACCTTGGTTGCAGTTTGTCCCCGCCCCTGACTGAGGTTGTGTGTGTGGCAACCACTCGGTGTGTCTCTCTCACATCGATGTTTCTCACCTCTCTCTTCCTCTCTCTCTCCCTCCCACTCTATCTAAAGATAAATGCAAAAATGTCCTCAGGTGAGGATTAAGAATAATAATAATAAAAGGCCAGGAACTTTCTTATAAAAAATAATGAGCATATGAAATAAGTATATCAATACGTTAAAATATAAGCATTATAAAAAATAAAAAGTTGGACAGGTTAAGGAGGATTGGGGTACAGGATGGAGGTTGCAGATTGGTTGTAATCGTAAACAAGGTAGTCAGGGTGGCCTTACTGAAAAGGTAACATTGGATTAGGTGAGGGGATTACTATGTGGATATCTATGGGACGAGTGTTATAGGCAGAGGGAACAGCTAGTACAAAGACCCATGCCTGATGTGTTTGAGAAACAGCAAAATGACTGGAGCAAAATGAGCAGGGGAAGAGTGATAGGAGATGAGGTCATAGAGATAATGGGGACCCTATTCTGTAGGGCTGTGGAGGCCATTGTAGGGACTTAGGCTTTGATTCTGAGAGCAGAACAGTGACATGAAAGGACTTACATTTAAGAATGATTACCCTGGTTGCTGTGTTGATAGACTGTAGAATAATGAGAGAAAAAGCAGAGAGATGAGTTAGGCTATGCTGCTATCCAAGGAAGAGGTGATAATGGCTCAGACCAGAGTGGTTCCAGTGAGAAAAGATATATTTTGAAGATAATCAACAGGATTTCTTGATGGATTGGATGTGGGGTATGAGAGAAGAGTTCGGGTTGACTCCAAAGTTTTGACTTGAGCAACTGGCAGGATGGATTAGCTGAGATGGAAAAGGCTGTTGGTGGAAAGGTGTGTTAGGCAAAGAGTTCAGTTTTGGTTGAATTTGAGATGTCTATCAGACATTCAAGTGGTGCTATATGAATCAAGGTTGTATATACTAGTCTGGATTGAGGAGTGAGGTCTGGACTAGAGGTTTACATTTGCATTGAGTAGGCATTTAAACTCAGATGAGATCACCAAAGGAGTGATTTTATTTTATTTTTTTATCCTCACCTGAGGACATATTTTTGATATTTTGTTCAGATAGAGTGGGAGGGGGAGAGAGAGAGAAACATCGACGTGATAGGGACACATTGAGTGGTTGCCACCCACACGACCCAATCAGGGCCGGGGACAAACTACAACCGAGGTATGTGCCCTTAGCGGGAACTGAAACTGGGTCTCTCCAGACCGCAGGTCAACACTAACCACTGAGCAAAACTGGCCAGGGCCAAAGGAGTGATTTTAGATGGAAAAGATAAAAGACCAAGAGCTGAGCCTGGAGGGTCCTCTACTATTAAGAGATAGAGTCATGGGGGAAAGGCTATAGTTGTGGTGTTATAAGCATAGGGTTATGGAGTAGGGAGCTAAAACTTGGCAAAATAAGGTTGGGTATGGAATGTGGAAGCCTGAGTAAAATTGAGCACAGAAACTATGTGGTGAGGGGCATTAATATGGTCATAGCACACGGGATAATTGATGTTGAAAGTGCTTAATCTCAGATTTCAGGCTAATATTGTATATTATATATACAATAACTTTTATATACAATGAACAGTGTGATCCTCATAGCCTTAAGTCTCAGTGTTAGGGGATGGCCAGGGCCAGGACCAGAATAATGAAAGAGCTAACCGTATCTCATAAATGTATTTCAAGCAATAAACTTTCCCTTCACTTATAGAGATACCATTCGACAAGCAGAATCTTTGAACTTATCAGACATTTTTGGAGAGTCTGAAAATAGTGTCACCGAAGAGGGTTCAAGAGCATCTGAGTCAGAGTCTTCATCAAAAAAGAAAAAGTCCTTATCTTCCTCTTCTTTCTCCTCTTCTACTGAATCCGGAAATCTTGAGTCTATAGGTAAGCAAAGGGTTTTCTTTTTTTTCCATTTGAATGAAAACTTTTTTTCTCTAGGAGACATCCCAATCTTAATAGGAACTTTCCCACTATGTCTATTTCCCAATTTTCTCCACCATTACCCCTGTACTTCTGCTTCCCTTTGAATAAGTGTGGCTTTGGCTGTCTTTGCTTATTGTAAAAAGTGGTCTCTTGGTGATGCACCCTTTACCCTCCTCCCTTCTTCCTGTTCCTCTTTCATCTCTCACACACCATATGATTTATCAGTTCTTTCCCAACTTCCAAAAATCTATCTGTTTTTAAGAAGAATTTTTCCGTCCAGGTCAGTTGGACTGGGAGACTCATGTGCACCAGAATCTGCCTGGGCTGATGGACATGGATCAGGATGAACGCATTGTTTGGCCTAGAGATTCACTCTTCCGATATTTTGAGTTGCTGGAAAAGCTTCAGTATAACCTAGAGGAGCGTAAGGGGTTGCAAGAGTTTGCAGGTATGGATTTGGGACAATCATAGGGACCAGCAGTTAAGTACAATTGGAGTAGCAAACATAACAGGATAAGGAGGTAGGTGTCCACTATTGTGGTATCTCAGCCTCTGAATTTCCACCTCATACCTAAAAAAGGCAAATCCTTGGTTTGGCATGTTACATTCTGGATATATGTCCTGATTCTAACATAAAGAGAACCTGGCAATTTTGCTTCTTTAGTAGGGGACACCTAAATCCTTTCAGGTCTGGGAGCTTGTTTCCCAAGAGGAGACTGTTACAGTTGTTGGGAATTAAGACAAGGTGGGCTCTTGCTCATTTTGACAATCCACCCCCTTTTGTACATGTTTCTTCTCTTTGAAGTCCACATTTTTGTCCTGAGCAGTACGGCCTTAAGCTCAAGATTTTGGGATTGCATATATAATGACAGATAACTGTAGGAATTAGACAATGAGCAGAAAGCCCACAAGTGCCCACTGCCCCTCAATCTCCCAAAGAGGTTTATGAATTATACAGACTTCTCTTCCTTTCCGCACATTCTAGTGTCAGCCGAGGCAGAGAGAAGGATGTGATTTAAATAGTAGAGTTATTTTCCCTAAGTTTCTCACTTGAAATTTTACCATTAATTTGGATTAATAAATTTTTCCTCTAGAAATAAACACTGAAAGAGTTAGGGGCCATTTCTTATAATTTAATATGGATTAGTGTTATCTTTCTCATACCCACTTGAAATAAACTCAATGTGAAAATAACAATTAGGCCCTGGCCAGTTTGGCCCAGTGGTTAAAGCGTCGGCCTGCGGTCCAGAGAGACCCGGGTTCGGTTCCCACCAAGGGCGTGTACCTTGGTTGCAGTTTGTCCCTGGCCCTGATTGGTGGAGCAGGTGGCAGCCACTCGATTTGTCCCTTTCACATTGATGTATTCCTCTCTCTCCCTCCCACTCTACCTGAACAAAGAATGGAAAAATGTCTTCGGGTGAGGATAAAAAAAAAAAAGAAAACAATCAGGAAAGAGGAATGTGGGTTTGCAGTGGGCACAGAAGGGCATCAAAAGAAATTTATAACATTGGAATATGGAATTTAGAACAGGATGTCAAAGTAGACATTCACCTACTTCAAAATGTTGCCTAAAGTTAATCCTGTTCTTTCCAGTTGTCCTCAGCCTTGTCTTTTTTCTTGTTTTCTGAGGAGAACAGGGGGAAAGAAGGGAGGTAGCCAAGGAAGCTTCTTTAACGATGATTAATGCATTTGGCAAAGAGTACAGGTGCATATGGCTTAATTTAAAGTAAAGATTAGAAAAAATTTGTGTGGGAACACAGAAAAGCAGGGTCTTCAAACATTTGTATGTTCTGGATATTCTTAGCTCTCCAACCTCACAGTCTGTTTCTTTACAGTGCAGGCACTGATGAACTTTCAAGACAAGTAAAGCTGATGATGGATGGCTTCGATATCTTTGGCAAAAGATGTGGAGGGGAATAGTTGGAAATGGAGAATTTAAAGTATAAATATTTAATAAATACTGCTGATAATTGCTTAGTGTCCTATCTCTGAGACATAGGGGAGTCTGAAAGATAGAAGATTAGGTGACAATTTTAGTTTTGATGCCAGTGGGGCCTGTGGTCCTTGTCTTCTTACTCTATCCACAGCCACTCAGGCTGACTCTTTCCTTGACTTTGTAACTATGGTTCCCACCCATTCTGCAAACTCCTGATAGAGTCCTAATTTTACCCTTTCCTTCCCTGGTGGGTACAGACCTCTCTGGTGGGGGGTTGGGGTAAGGAGATCCCAGGAGCTGTTAGTATAACTAATTGAGAACTATCGTTTTCGTTGCCTACTCTAGGACCATTGCTTGCCCCGTGTACAATGAACTTTAATCAAATATTGTTTTCACCTGTTTCTGGGCCAAAAGAGAGTCCTTTATTCCATTTCCTTACCGTTGCTCAGGGCAGTGATTCCACTGTGTAGAAGTGTTCAAATCAGTAAGTGTGTCCCACAGATTTTTAGCATTAGAAGGGAACTTAGAGTTTATGTCCCATCAAAACAGGAACACATTTTAGAATATCACTGAAAAGGGGATTATCCAGCTGATGCTTAATGTTAGTTCCAGGGAATCCCATGCCATATGTTGGATGACTCAAGTCTTTAGAAGTGTTTATTATTAAAATTCTATCATTTTTTAAGTGCTTAACCCATACATACATAAAAAACACTGAATTGTACACTTTAAAATGGTAAATTTTATGTGAATTATATTTCAATTTAAAAAAATGACGTAAGTAGAGACTTCCGGTCAAGATGGCGGCGTAGGTAAATGTGGTATGCGTCCTCCCACAACCACATCAAAGTTACAACTAAACTACTGAACAACCATCATTCAAAACCGCCTGAAATTGCACTGAATGGAAGTCCTACAACTACGGAATTAAAGAAGCAGCCACATGGAGAGTGGTAGGAGGGGCGGAGGTGGACGGGTGTGGGACTGGATAAAAATCAGGAGGACACCTCAGCTGGGAAGGTTTTCCCTGAGGACTGAGGGGTCCCTGTCCCACACCAGGTACCCTGCTTAGGGTTCCAGTGCCAGGAAGAAAAGTCCCCATAACTTCTGGCTGGAAAAACCAGTGGGAACTGAGGCTCAGTGAGGCTGAGGTGGCAGGAGCCCCAGGCAGCTCCTCTTAAAGGGCCCGTGCATGGACTTATCAGACTCACTTCCTCTAAGTTTGGAGGGGAGGCAACTCGAGGGGCACCAAAGACATACAGGGAAGAACTGAGCTGTTTGGCATTTGAGCGAGGGCTGGAGAGGGGGGCTTTCTCCGGAACAAAGGTGCTGTCAGAGGCCTTTGTTTCTTTGGTGAGCCCTTCCCTGGGGCGACAGACAGTCACCATATCTGGGACTCCAGCAACCTGGCTCATACTGGTTGCCCCGCCCTGGTGATTCCCTGAGGCCCACCCCACCCAACTTTCAGGCCCACCCAAGCTGTTGCCAGTTGCTTAACCATAGGATTGGCCTGTCTTGGATCCTGCTTCAGGTTTTCCTAAATTCTTTCAAACAAGCAGCATCTGGTCTCAGATAGCCCCATACCTCTCGTTCAGTAACACACAGAAACAAACACAGGGAGGCAGCCAAAATGAGGATACAAAGAAACAGGTCCCAAATGAAAGAACAGAACAAAACCCCAGGAGAAGAACTAAGTGGAATGGAGATAAGCAACCTAACAGATGCTGAGTTCAATATACTGCTTATAAGGATGCTCAATGAACTTAGTGAGAACCTCAGCAAACTTGGGGAGGGCCTCAAGAGCATAAAAAAAGACCAATCAGAAATGAAGGATGCACAGTCAGAAATGAAGGAGGCATTAACTGAAATAAAGACTACACAGATTCAGTAGTAGAGTAGGTAAAGCCAAGAAGCAAACCAACGATTTGGAATCCAAGGAAGCAAAAAACGCCCAATCAGAACAGCAAAAAGAAAAAAGAAGCCAAAAAAATGAGGATAGTGTAAGGAGCCTCTGGGACAACTTCAAGCGTACCAACATTCGCATCTTGGGGCTGCCAGAAGGAGAAGAGATAGAACAGGAAATCGAAAACCTATTTGAAACAATAATGGCAGAAAACTTCCCTAACTTGGTGAAGGAAACAGACATACAAGTCCAGGAAGCACAGAGAGTCTCAAACAAGATGAACCCCAAGAGGCCCACACCAAGACACATCATCATCAAATTGCAAAAGGTTCAAGACAAAGAGAGAATCTTAAAAGCAGCAAGAGAAAAGCAATTAGTTACGTACAAGCGAGTTCCCATAAGACTGTCAGCTGATTTCTCAAAAGAAACTTTGCAGGCCAGAAGGGAGTGGCAAGAAATATTCAGAGTGCTGAAAAGCAAGAACCTACAACCAAGATCACTCAATCCTACAAAGCTGTCATTTAGAATCGATGGCCATATAAAGAGTTTCTCAGACAAGAAAAAGTTAAAGGAGTTCATCACCAAAAAATCTGTATTATATGAAATGTTGAAGGGTCTTTTTGAAGAAAAAGATAAAACATATGAACAAATAAAATGGCAATAAATACATATGTATTGACAATTGAATCTACAAACAAAATGAACAGGCAGAACAGAAACATTCTCAGAGATACAGAGAACATTTTGTTGGTTGCTAGATGGGAGGGGGTTGGGGGAATGGGTGAAAAAGGTGAAGGGATTAAGAAGAACAAATTGGTTGCTAGACTGACAAATCTCAAAGGGAAGGGGGTTAGTGGGTGGGAAGAAATAAACCAAAAAACTTATATGTAACCAGTGGACACAGACAACAGTGTGGGAAAAGGCAGGAGGGGGGCGGGAGTGGGGAGGAGGGGATTAATGGGGGGAAAATAAGGAACATGTGTAATATATTCAACAATAAAGATATAAATAAATAAATAAATAAAAATAAAAAATGAAGTAAGTAAAGCCCTGGCTGGTTTGCCTCAGCTATTAGAGCATTAGCCTGTGGATCAATGAGTCGCAGATTTGATTTCAGTCAAGGTCACGTACCTTGGTTTTGATTTATCCCCGGCCCTGGTTAGGGTCCTGCAGGAGGCAGCCACTCGATGTGTCCCTTTCACGTTGATGTTTTTCTCTCTCCCTCCCTCCCACTCTATCTGAACAAAAAAAAGGAAAAATGTCCTCACGTGAGGATTAAAAAAAAAAAATGAAGTAAGTAAAAATTATCTAAAATAAAAAACCAACATTATGTTTCAAGGAAAAGCATTGTAGTCATTTCCCATAAAGTGAGAAACAAAAATGTTTTAAAATAAATGTCAATAGCCTGGCTGGTGTGGCTCAGGGGTTGAGCATTGACCCATGCACCAAGAGGTCGCCGGTTTGATTTCCAGTCAGGGCATATGCCCAGGTTGTGGGCCCAATCCCCTGTGGATGGGCATGCAGGAGGCAGCCAATCAATGTTCTCTCTCATCGATGTTTCTCTCTCCTTCTCCCTTCCTCTCTCTCTCAAATCAATTGAGAAAAATTATTTAAAAAAATAAAAATAAGACAACTGGGGGAATAAACAATAAATAAATTAATTAATTAATTAAATAAATAAATAAATATCAACATATAACTTTGTATTAAATAACTTGTCATAAGAAATACAGCATAAGCATTTGAAAAGAAGGACTAGAACTACTATTTTTAGACACAATTGTATTCCTAGAAATCCCAAAGAAGTCAACTAGAATTAGAGATAAAGGATTTTCATGAAGTACACATAGAATAAAAGAGGGCTAGAGACAGACACCTGGGGAACAGGAACACTTAGGGATAGGAGGAGGAAGGGGAGCCAGCAAAGAAGCCTGAGAGGGAAGAGCTGAAGAGACAGAGGATAATCATTCCAGAGTAATATCACTAGAGCCAAGAAAGGGTTTTTTAAATTTTTAATCCTCACCAGAGGATATTTTCCCATTGATTTTCAGATAGAGTGAGAGGGAGGGAGAGAGAGAGAAACATTAATGTGAGAGAGACACACCTATTGGTCGCCTCCCGTATGACTCCAACCAGGGCCCGGGATCAAACTGCAACCAAGGTATGTGATTTTTTTTAAACTTATTTTTATTGTTGAATGTATTACAGATGTTCCTCATTTTCCCCCTATTGACCCCATCCTTCCTGCTCCTGCCTCCCTCCTGCCTTTCCCCACACTGTTGTCTGTGTCCATTGGTTATGCATATATACATATAAGTTCTTTGGTTTATTTCTTCCCACCTCCCCACTCCTCTTCCCTTTGAGGTTTGTCAGTCTAACAACCAATTTGTACTTCTTAATCCCTTCACTTTTTACACTCATTCCCCCAACACCCCTTCTATCTGGCAACCAACAAAATCTTTTTATCTATGAGAATGTTTCTGTTCTGCTTGTTCATTTTGTTTGTAGATTCAATTGTCGATAGGTATGTATTTATTGCCATTTTGTTTGTTCATATAATACAGGTTTGTTGGTGATGAACTCCTTTAATGTTTTCTTGTCTGGGAAACTCTTTATATGGCCATCAATTTTAAATGATAGCTTTGCAGGATAGAGTGATCTTGGTTGTAGGTTCTGGCTTTTCAGCACTCTGAATATTTCTTGCCACTCCCTTCTGGTCTGCAAAGTTTCTTTTGAGAAATCAGCTGACAGTCTTATAGGAGCTCCCTTGTAGGTAATTAACTGTTTTTCTCTTGCTGCTTTTAAGATTCTCTTTGTCTTGAACCTTTTGTGTTTTGATTATGATGTGTCCTGGTGTGGATCTCTTAGTGTTCATCTTGTTTGGGACTCTGTGCTTCCTGGACTTGTATGTCTGTTTCCTTCACCAAGTTAGGGAAGTTTTCTTCCATTATTGTTTCAAATAGGTTTTCGATTTCTTGTTCTCTCTCTTCTCCTTCTGGCACCCCTATGATGTGAATGTTGGCACGCTTGAAGTTGTCCCAGAGACTCCTTACACTGTCCTCATTTTTTTGGCTTC